CACTACAATACATGAATACTTATAAATAAAAATTTTGCCACATATCATTTTCCTTCCTTATGTACTCAATATTGATTCAGATAATGAAAAATTGATGATGATTGAAAGAAGACTTCAATTAATAAATTAGTTGTGTATTATCTAGCTCAAAAATAAGTTGCATTATATATTTCCATCAAATATAAAACAATGATGCAACGTCTATCTAACATTAAAGTAAAGTTGGTGCAATAGTTGGTTGTAGATCTTCCCTCACACACTACAGGAAAATAGCTCATTACCGACAGAATTTCTGGCAGATTTCCGACGGAAGAATTTCTGGCGGATTTTCCGGCGGATTTTCAACGGATTATTTATAAACATTTATGGCCAGTTGAAGAAATAATTCCATATATACACTTAATGGCTCATCCAATACCTATCAGACATTTTCAAACTGCTAAACTAAACAACCTTCGACACATTTAGACAAATGTAGTAATATAAATTAATACTAGAGATAGATCCAAATATGTGACATAATAAGTTAGAATTGACCAATAAAGAATAATAACTTGTATTTTCACCCTCCTAATTATTGATCATGCCTATAAAAAATAGACTTATAATCCTTAACCACAATTCCTTAAGAAGATATTTGTACACCTATGTATTTAAACATGAGAGAAATGATTGAAATACCAATGATCTCATAAAAATGTCGAGGAATTCACAAAATTGTAAATAATATCATACTTAGTAAAAAAACTCAATATAAAAAATAAACCTAAAGGATTATAAAAGCCTCACAATTCTTGTTGGTTTCCACAACATGTTCATAATTATCAAACTAATAATATTTCTTAACATTAATATGTTTTGACATAACTGCATTCAAATTATGATATGCAATGAAGTATGATTAATAAGGAAAAATATTACAAATAATGAACCTTATCAACATGTAGTTTATTGAGTAAATATTTAATAGCTATGGCACTTAAGATGTGATAGTGTGTATAAGATATAAACATAAAAAATAGATAATGATTATGCATTTGTTTATTATCACTTTAATATCTTAGTATATTTCTTTTGATACTTCACGAGGAGCACCAATCTTATATTTTTCGAACTTAAGACCACGATAATTTTTTTCTAACTTAAGAGCCATGATAATTGTTTTCGCTCGCGTAGCTTTAATGTTAGAGATTTGATCACAATATAATGCAAATGTATCTCAGGCCACTATCAAGGTGGATCCAAGATTGAGTCAAAATAGAATGACCTCTTTGTTATAGAACAATCATATAAGTGAGGGTCTTGTCAACTTATCGATTGCAAATGAAAACATCTTATGTTGTTTATAAATGTATATTATTAGAATAAAGATTATGCATGAGATGTTAATGCTTTTTTTTCTCTATTCATAAACAAATTCAATAAAAATAAAATGCTTCTTATTGATGTTTATACATTGTTTGCTTTATATTAGTTATTATTAAAAGAGTTAATATGTCTTATACATGCTAAAAATTGATGATATTTGCTTGGAATCTTCAATGATTGGTATAGGTTAACAATATCCAAAATCATTACCAATGCTTTTTTTTACCCAAGAAATAATTCCATTAAGTGTAAACATTGAAATTAAGAGACTTATAAAGGTTTATAACTCCCCAATAAACACTCAGCATCCTCATGGAAGTTATCTTTATTACAAGTTAATCACTACAGGAAAACATGCGAATACCGTCGGATGTTCCGGCGGAATTTTTTGTATCGGTAAATACAGCATTTGTACGGGCGCATCATGCGAAGGAATAATAACGGTGTTCTTTCCGACGCATCTGGCGACGGAAACTTCCCGACGTCCCATGCACCGGTGATAACGTCGGAAATTAGCAGCATTTCATTCGTACCGGTGGACTTTACGGCGGATTAGGTCCGGCGCAGTTACCGGCGAATAATAACGGGTTTTCCTGTAGTGAATTTAGAAGATGTAACTCATGCATTCTTTAATCCTTTTTCATAGCTTTTGCAAAAGTAGAATCCCTATAAGAATATTTATATCTTGCATTTGTGATCTCGTGTTTTTATACAGTGTACTTTATATACATGAAGTTTCATATCGTTGCATGCAATTCATGATTGGGCCCCCAAAATCCTATATCTTTTAATGGTTGTTTTAATTTTTACCAATATTTTAGAGTCAATACGGTAATATTTTTTACAATAATACAAAATATACACTTATAATTTATTGAGGTGTTTAACACATAATATAATAATTTTTAATATAAAATATTTGCTTGTAATTAGTTATTTATAACATGAGGCATTTCTATGTTTAATTTAAATTATTATCTCCTAATGAGAGTCTTACTATGGCGATATTCTCTAATGATCCAACGTTCACTTCTTACTTTTTGTTCATTTCCTCCATCTAGACATCATAAACTAGATCTAAACTAATTTCACTACAATGAAACATTAAAATTGAAAAACATCAAACAAGCATAAATCCTCATTAAGTATCACCATTGCTCCCATTTATTTTAAACATTATAGTTTTCAAAACTTAATCAACAACTTTATTAAATTCATATTAATACTAAATTCTCGTCTTATGATAGCTTATTTTATTATAAATTCATTATTCTATGATGTTTGTACATCAAACCTTCCTCTCAAATAGTGTACCCTTATTCCCGTGTGAAGTTACTCGCTTTAACTTATAACATAACATTCAAATTCAGGACCATCTTAAAATTACCTAAATTGCGTAAAAACGTTATCTTATTGTGGTTTCTTCTTCATGATAATGTTTGTACCATCCCAAACTCTTAACTATTAAGGTATTATCAACTTTGGCCTAATGGCCTCGCAATTTTATCTTGTTGGTTTAACATTTCAGGAGATCACCCATCCCCGTATTGCTTCGACAAGAGAATACTTAACAGTGTAGTTTCTTAATTAAATTCAAACCGTTACACCTAAAAGCATCTCAATGTTTAAGAGTTTAATTTTTTTTCTACTTAAGGAGCTTTGTAATCTCCCTCACTTAAGTAGCTGATGTCCTCATCAATATCCTTATCCCATAATCATCCACCTGACATATAGGATTATAGAAGTGGCCCTTACAAATTCAAGTGGTGATTCCCATATATAGCGCACTTTATCCCATTTAGGGTTTAAAATTATATTGACCCTATAGAATTTAAGATTTAAAATCTAATTCTCACTATAAGATTTCTAAGAGGCATCTTCTTTTGAAAAACATTATCATTGAATAAAACTCTAATATAAGTTCAAACTTAAAATCTAGTTGCCTCTATAAATATACCTTAATTGCATTTAGTTATCACTACGAGGCTTCTTCTTTGGGATAACCATGCTCTAATAATTTTGTGCTATAGATTTTCAAACTTCAGCATCAAATTCTTTCTTTATGATGTATTTGGAATGCTTGTGCGTTTAAAATTCATTTGATTTAGGCTTTTTTCAAATACAACATTCATCGCCATTATCGTCGGTATCCGTCATTGTCCACCACCATCACCTCAGCTGACCCCGCCGCCACCACCCACCCCCTACGTCGTCAACTACTGCCACCACTACCTGTTACTACTCACTGTTGATCGTCGCTGCTACCTTTGCCTATCATTAACGCTGCTAACACCTGCAACCGAACTTCACCACTATCACCACCATCCTTTGTCGACTTCCACTACTTCCACCTGTCGAACTGCCATTGTCTCATAAGGTAGAATTTCAAATTAGTTTTCTATTTGGATTGACCTTAATTGCATTGGGTTCTCTCAAAGAGGCTACATCAGCTTCTATTTCTTGATAATCTCACCATGTTATGTGATCGTTATTAAATTTTATAGTTTAAATATAAATTTCACCTTAGCCAAAACATGTTATTTTATATTGTGAAGTCTTCTCTTGTGCCTTTATGAATAGTATAATGTATTTCTTCACTAGATGTTTTGAAACAAATCAATCAAATATTTTTTTTTTTTCAATTTCATCTTAACAAAATAAAAAGATGAGCACACCTTTCAATTCATGCTATTTATTTATTTTTCATTAACTTTTTTCGTAATTATTATTTAATAATTAGTTCAAATTCTATTAGTTTAAGGCTCCCTTTTATTTAACGAGTTAAAAAGAAGAAAGAAATTTACATATCTAACACCTAAAAGATTAATATTACTCTTATACCACCAAAAAATTATACTTTACATCACTTATACCACTCCGTTTATACGTGACATTACGGCGTATATCTTCCCGCCAAACAGTGATCTTCGCGCGGGAACACACTCCATACATCTCGTCGCTGCTCGCGATCGCTGTTCGCGATCAGATAGATCACGACGTCGCTGGTCGCGGTCGCTGTTCGCAAAACAAGCTCTGGCCGGGAAATACGTTCTCGTCGCTGCTCTCTCCTCGCGATCACAGCGCGTGTGCTCGCCTCTGCTCGCGATCACAGCTTATATTGCTCTGTTTGTGTTGTTTTGTATATTGCTCTGTCTGCTGCTAGCCACAACTCCATCGGTAATACCTTTTTTTTTCTTACTCTTAATGCATAGATAGTGCATTAACTTCTTATCTCGGGTAATATATAAAATAAATTTCTGTTATGTTATTTATAGCTGTGAAGATGTGTTCCAAACCAACAGAGCTTGTTTCGGTTGTTTTTAAATATGGAGGAAAATGGGTTAAAACCAATGACCAACATAGAAAGAGGTATGATGGTGGCAGACAAAGGACCGTTAAATTTGAGAAAAGCCAAATGACTATTTACGCTCTAAGAAGCGAGGTTGTTA